CTGCATTTGCTGCTTAAAGTGCCTTAGATTTTGTGTTACTTATTTATCTACTTTATATTTCATTTGTATTTTGTGGCATTCATGTGGACGGCAAAGTAAGAATTTCATTGTACAGGGAAACACGTTTCCTAACTGTGCATATGACAAATAAACACTTTGACCTTGACCTGACCTTGAGTTGTGTGGATGCTGAGTCAGCATCCACACTTTGTTATCCTGTTCTTTATATTTTCTGATTTCTTCCGTACGTTTTTGGCACTTAACTCCAGTATACTTTCAGCCAGAAAAACCATTCAAATATCACAAAGTTCAGCCTTTTATGGACATGTGCGCTTGTATTTTTTGTTCTTGTAACATTTATACTTTTTAATATATTCAGCATTTGTGTGTCACTGCTACTGTACCTCTGTGTGTTACTGTGCGACACTGTATTGCTTTGATTGTGTATGTTTGGGTGTTTGTTACCGAGGGCCATGGAGAATTTGCTGAAGAGCTCGGATCATGTTGAAAAATGCCATCAATGTACTCCTGGCTGATGGTGACATGACTGAGATGAGCTGTGTCTCGTGTATACATGAAAATAACAGGAGGACATGAATCTTTTTATTGTAATTCACTGTAAAAAGAACAGCAGTAAACCCAGTTTACTCTCAGACCTGTCTGACCCGTTTCTAATGGTTTAAAGTATTAGCACCACTCTGCGTGTGTAGGATTATTTATCCAGAGACTTTTGCCTCAAGACGTGACTCCTTTTTGTTCCATGGGGCTTTAATGGGCACAGTTGAACCACAGGATGTGTGTAGTAACAAACCTCATCTGACTGCCTGAGACACCTGTCAGTCAGGACAGACGCGCCACTTTAACCCTTTGGCTGCGTCCACATCTCAGCTGAAGCATGAGATGGGGCCACAGAATCAGTTTGCAGTTCTTAACACAACCAACAACTGGTGTAGTGTTTTCCATCTTCAGACCCTTGTGATAAATTTGCAGTGGATGCACTAACTGTACTGTTCTGAAGTACATGGAGAGCTTTGAACATGTGTTTGCGTTTCAGGTCCAGGTCTGGCCTTCATTGCGTATCCGAAGGCTGTTAGTCTCATGCCGGTGGCTCCGCTCTGGGCGGCGCTCTTCTTCTTCATGCTGCTGCTGCTGGGACTGGACAGTCAGGTGACCAACACGCACACACACAACACCCCCTTCGTTATTGTATTTAAGTAGGTTTTTCAGGTATATGTACTTGAGTATTTACTTTCTGACACCGTTTTACTTTTACTCCATTTTAACACAAGTATCTGTACTTTCTACTCCTTACATTTTCAAACCAGGCCCATTACTTTTAGTTTTACTACATTTGAGCCATCCCTGCTGCTCAGTGACTGGCAGCAGGTGTGTGGTCCATCCCTGGCCACCTGATCTCCACACTCGGTCACATGACCAGAAGCCACCTCAGTCAGATCCACCGTCTGAGCTTAGTGCTGCTCGCAGCTGTTTTCTTATTGGTTTTTCCTTTATGGAAACAATTCTCAGTGTGTTTCCCGTTGTAACATGAACGTCCTCCCTCAGGGAGTCGGTCACATTTTCTTCCAACATTCATCTGTAGTAACGTTCATGAGCCTGTAGATTCAGCGTTTCTGTCCTTCTCTGCAGTTTGTTGGGGTCGAAGGTTTTGTTACTGGAATTCTGGACCTGTTTCCTGGAAAGTACCAGCACCGCTACAGAAGGGAGATCGCTGTAGCTGCATGCTGCTTGTTGTGCTTCATCATCGACCTCTCCATGGTGACACAGGTCAGTCACAGTCACACACGAGCGCTGTTTTACCAGTAAGTGATAGTAACACAAGTGAAAGCTGAGACAGGAGTCGTGCCTGAAAGTAAAAGGAAACGGCAGCAGCTGATAAATGAGTTTAAATGGATGTTGAAATGAGACGGTGCTGCAGGAAGTCCAACACTAACTGTTTCTGTGCAGGGAGGGATGTACGTCTTCCAGCTGTTTGACTACTACTCGGCCAGTGGAATGACTCTGCTTTGGCAAGCATTCTGGGAATGCACAGTAGTCGCCTGGGTCTACGGTATGCAACACACACACATGCACACACAACCAGTATGTTTTCCAGAACTGTGTTAGTGGAGTACGTCGTGAAAACTGATGAGACTGAAGGAGAATGTTGTGCAGGTGCTGACCGCTTCATGGACGATGTAGCTCGTATGATTGGCTACCGGCCTTTCCCCTGGATGAAGTGGTGCTGGTCCTTCATCACTCCATGTGTCTGCATGGTAAGATACACAACCAAATCAAATCAAATGAAATCAAATTTTATTTGTATAGCGCCAAATCACAACAAAAGTCATCTCAGGACACTTTACAAA